GAGTGTGGCACTCCCGGTGTGCCCCGGGTGTGGCACCCCCGGTGTGCGCAGTGCCCTGAGCCCCGCGGAGCAGCCGGGCAGGAAGACTCTGCCCAGGTGTTTCAAGAAGGGGCAGAGGGGGCTGCGATCCTTAGGGCAAAGGGCGGCTCTTCCCTCTTTTCTCTTTGCAAATATAAACGTCACCTTCCAAACTGTACTGTGACTCCGATGGAAAAATCTGGAACTTTTGTTTTTTCCTGGTTGTTGTTGTATTGTATTTTTCTCCAAGCAAGGGTGCCAGTGCAACTCGCCCTGTAGCGCAAAGGGACCCAGAAAGAGAGAAGAAGATAAAATGAATTTAAATTCCAAAGGGGTTTCAGTGCTGGTTTCCTAGTCCCCGAGTCAGCAATGTGTTTGTGAAAATTCAGCCTTTTTGTCTCTCAGAAAAAAGGGCTAAATCTACATCGGTGGCCCAGTCTAGGTTTGCTATTCTTTGCATTTTCTATTCAAGTGAATGAGAGTGAATGAAGTGGCCTGGGACCCTTTATTTGATCTACTCAATTGCATAAAGTGACAGAATTCTAATATATTTGTTTAATGCTCTTCAATGGGGCTTTCACTTTCTAGCTTGCAAATGAAGCCTCGATCTGCAAAGTTTTGTCCTTTTTTCCTTTCTACCTTTTTTTTTTTCCTGGCAGAGAGACCATATTTCATAACTTGGGCTACGGTTTGAAGTGATTTCAAGAGGAGTTTTAGACTCGAAAAGTGGGAAATAAAGAAACAGATGTGAAGTTATTGTAAATTCTTATAGTGGGCTCTGGGGCTATTGTAAACCCACTGCAGGCGGTCCAAAGCCTCTCTTTTTCATGCTGTAATTGAAACATATTAATTAGATAATTTGTTGTTAGTTTAAAAGAAACAAATACAGCCCCTCCAAGGCTTCACAGCCTCGGCTTCTTTTTGTTAACAAAAACAAAACAAAAAAAAAACCACAACCAACCCACAAAGTGACATTTATATTAAGATTCCGAGATAATTCGGCACTGAAGTTGATGAAGCTGCTAAGTTTTTTCTCTTTTTCTTTCCCAAGGACCACTTTTGAAAAAAGTCTGGCTCATAAAACTCCCTCTCAGGGGTCGCCGGGGAGTTCTTTTCTCCCTACCTGGCACAGACCGCCCTTCCCTGCAAGGCGCGGTTCGAGAGAAAATAAATATTCTGAGTGAGAAGGAGCTGGCTGTCTTCAATAGAGGATTCAGTCCTGTGGGGTGGTGTCTTGTCACATGTCGAGGAGAGAGAAAACAAAACAAAACAAGACCACAAAAAAAAAACCCAAAACAAAACACACCACCACAAAAAAAAAACCCCAAAACGCTGACATGGAGCAAACCCCCCAGCCCGGCTGGGTTCTCGGGCTTACCTTGCACAGCCGGGCTCCAACCCATCCTCCGGAAGAGCTTTTGCCTGAAATCAACGGTGCCTTTGCATTAAGTACGCCTAGCTTATAATGTCTGGCTGGCAAATAAAATGTAAAAAAAAATTTAAAAAAAGAAAGAACCCCCCCGACCCCCCACGAAATGTCTAAACAGGACGGAGGGCTCGGCCGCGGCTGCTTCCCTCGCCCCCCCATCCGCCCCTTCCCTCCGCGCTGTTGTCTGTTGCTGCTCTATTTCAGATCTGTGTTTATTGACATTGGACTTGAGCCATTAGGGAGATTTAACAAGTCAAAGCAGTAAATTCAAGCGACGCGCTGAGCTGCGTATTTGTTTGAAATGAGCATCACAACATTTGGGGAAGCGGGCGGAGATGCGCGGAGGAGCGCGGCGGCTCCGCGGGCCGCGGGAGGGAGAGGGCGCGGTGAGCAGCGCTTCCCCGGGCTGGGGCAGTCTCGGGCAATCGCAGAGATAAAGGGGAAAATGGCATTTGAAATGTATGGTGGCGAGTCACACACTCGCATTATGCAGCGAGAAACCTATCGCACCTTTTGAAAGTATTTTGCTTTGGGGTATAATCGTTTCAGATATTTATCTCCGCCGTTACTATATAGTTTAAAAAAAAGAAAATACCCTGAAAGTGCAGCTTCATCTTGTTAGTCGGGCTCGGATTTCATCTTTGAGGATTTGTTCTGACTGCTAGATCTTTAAAGGAAAAAAGGGAAGGAGAAAAAGCTTCCTCGTTGTCTAAAAATGTAGGTCATCGCTTGTTTAGGAAAAGTTTGTCGAGTTATGTGTCCATTGATCTGGTGATAAAGTTTTGAATGCTTTCTTTAACTGATCGTGTTGATATAATCGTGGGTTGGACTTGATGAATGAGTTCAGTTGTCCCCCATCCGACAAGCTTTAGCAGCTTCATGCATTTTAATCAGCCCAATGATTCATGTATTTTCCACCTTTTTTCTGTGTGTGGGATCCGATCGCTACATTAATCTTAAAACTTTTGCAAAGATCTTGTGGTGTGTAGTAAGGAAATGGGGATGTCACTTACCGTGTTTATGGTCCAGAAATTCAGAGATCAGTCGGAGACAAAACCTCTGTAACATCATTGCCGTAGAATTCGTGAATCCTGCAGCTTCATTAGAATACAATGTCGTTTTCTTGCTAGTTAGCACTTCAGTTGTCTTGTAACTGTGCTCGCAGAATGCCTCATCTCCAAGGCATTTATTTACTCATTTCATTAGATGGCTTCTCTAATTTTCAACAGTTGCAGAATCCTTGAAAAATCCCTAGCAGATTTGGGGAATCCTACTAGAAAGTGTTCAGAATCCAGTTTTCATTGTAACCACTTTGCCCTTACTTTTTAAAAGGGACTGTATACTGAATTACCAAAAAACTGGTACAATTATGTTCCACTTTGCAAACTACCGGTTTGGGAAAGTGTTGATCAATAAGCAGCGGTTGGACTGACTTGTGCTTGAGCGGGTTTAAACGCCAGGTAAAAGGCTACAACAGCTCATTTTAACTCAAAAAAAAAAAAAAAAAAAAAAAAGATTTTGCAATGCCACTTGTAAGAAAAAACACCACTGAAAAAAAATTCAGTCTTCTCAGTCCCAAAAAAAAGTAACTAATTATTTGAAGATTTTTTTTTATGTTTGCTCTGTATTGCGGAAGCTTACTAATTTTTACACTTTTTAGAGAAAATGCAGCTGGCAGTAAGTAGGTGATGAGTACACATACACTCAGGCATGAATGTAATACGTGGTTATATTCAGTATAAGTGTATAGGGCACAAATGCAGGTGTGTGTGTGTGTGTATGCACAGATGTACAGATATAAATAGATGTTAGATATAAACCCCATAGAACATGTTCTCCCTTTGCTAAACCGGCAATAATGACAATTCTAGCTAAGAAGTTGTGCTGTATTAATAACTATATTTATACTAACCTTGCTTGAAAAGGCTGTTTAGATTATCTAAATATTGGAATAACACCATTCCTTCAGCATGAACTAGTGTTTTTACTTTTCTCGTGTAAACTCTTTAAAAAGACAAATAAGAAACTAAATCTGAATTTACATATTTTAATGAGAAAATATTATTTGGACGACTAGGTTCATAATTTAACGTAGACACTTTTTAACCTTTGTCTTAAAACACACATGCTGGGAACAAGAACACCAATATTTAAAATGCCATGCTCATTCTGTACAGGAAAAAAAAAGTTTAAAAGAAATGTCCTTACAGTTTCAAGATACACTAATGCTGTTTAGAGGGCGTGTTCTTTTTTTTTTTTTTCTCTTAACTTAAGCAGTTCACAACAGAACAACAGTTCAGTTTCCAGCAAACTACCTAAAACTAGAAAGGAGTATATCAAACAAAAGTGCATTTTACACATTTTATAATCATTCATATGCACAAACATTTACAGTTTCCTTAGCCCCCTCTCGTCTGCAAAGCTCCAGCAGAAATCAGGATGACCTCCAGCGTTGTACCTGCTGTTGTATTACTTTTCCACATTTTATCAGTGACTTCAACAGCTTTTCTTTAAACTATGTCGGGTCGTGTGCTTGGTAACAGGTTTATTTTTATTATAATTATGGTTGTTGTTTGGTTTTAAGCTATGAAGTAAATAGCTACAAAATTTTAAAAATAACAACAACAACCAAAAAAACCAACAACAAAGAAAACCTCAGCTCCCCCAAACCTTCGGGTTAACCAGAAGTTAACAGACAAGTCAACTCCTCCTTCTCTTTCACCTGAAAACTACAGTAAACATCCACGTTACAACAGGTACTGCAAAAGGGACCTCGTCTGATTTACAGTACAGATGCAAGTTCAGTATTTACATTAACACAGGCGCTTTGTAAACATGATCGGTGTGGCGAGAGCGGCCCGGCGCGGTTCCATCGCGGGGTCCCGCTCCGCGCCGCCCCCGCCGCTCCCTCTCCGGGGCCGCCCCAGCCCGCGGGGCCGCGGCCCTGCCCCGCCGGAGCGCTGCCCTTGGCGGCGCCGCGGGACCCGCACCCACACAAAGGACACCGAGCGCTTCCCGGCGTTTCCAAGATCCAAGCCTTTGCTGCTTGGAGGCTGGAAACGTCGCTGCTCTCACGCAGTGACACAGCAGCCATCCTTGTTCGCGGTACTAAAGATTGGTCCTGTATAAACCCCTGCTTTTCCCCAGACAAAAGAAGGGAAAGAGGCATCGCCGAGCCAGGCTCGCCTGGTCGCCGACAAATCGAAGATGCCTGAAGTACTTTTGGAAAACTAGCAATGCAAGTGGCAGCTCCTACCGGGCGGGAGGGGGCGGGCCGGGCCGGTTCCTTTCGCCTCAGAAGAACGGAAAACAAAGTTCAGAACCGGGGGAGAAACCGAGCCGCGAGGGAGGGCTCGGCCGAAGGGGCTCGGCGGAAAGGGAGCTCACGCGAACGGCACACCTCAGCTTCCCGCGGGGAGTTGTCTCTGCTTTCGAGGAAAAGAGTAGAGAGGAGAGAGGAAAGAAGCGAAAGGGGGGAGAGAAGGGGAGGGAGGAGAGCGCCGAGGAAACTTTGGGAGAAAGGGGAAGGCAGCGTCCGTGCAGGCGGCCCGGGTCAGTGCACAGCCACGGAGTGCAGGGCGGGCGCCGGGCTGGTGAGAGTCTCGCTGGGGGTGGCCGGGCTGCTTTGGCTGGTGGCCGTCTGCGAGGACGTGGGGCTGAGGGAGGGCGGCGAGTTCGAGAGGATGGTGGGGATGGGCGCGGGCAGGGCGGGCAGGGCTGGCACCGCGGCAGGGGTAGGCTTGATGGGGACGGGGATGGCCGGCAAAGTCTGCCCCCCATGGCAGAGCGGTTTGATGGGCACGCCGTAGGCGCCGTACTCGCTGCTGGCCATGGAGATGGGGGTGGCGGTGTCGATCATGCCGGAGCTGTACATGTGGGGCCAGCCCGTGCCAATGGAGCTGCCCACCGTAGTCAATTGATTGGGGAGGGGGTAGGCGGCCGGCATGGGCTGCATCGTGGAAAAGGCGAGGCCCCCGGGCATCTTGTACTCTCTGGCGATTATGTTCTCGATGGCGAAGGGGTGCTTGAAGCTGGAGGGCTGGGACACGCCGAGATTGTACGTGGACATCTGGGGCAGGTGGGTGCCGGTGGCCGCAAGGGCGCTGAGCCGCAGCTTCGCTTGCTGCTGCAGGTACTGCGCCGCGTCCGCCGGCTTGCTGGGGGCCAGGTGGTCCGACTTGACCACCTTGAAGCGCTTGCGGCGGCGCAGGAAGCTGCCGTTCTCGAACATGTCCCCGCAGCTGGGGTGCAGCGCCCAGAAGCTGCCCTTGCCCGGCTGGTCGGGGCGGCGCGGGATCTTGATAAAGCAGTCGTTGAAGGAGAGGTTGTGGCGGAGGGAGTTCTGCCAGCGCTGTGTGTTCTCCCGGTAGTAGGGGAAGCGGTCCATGATGAACTTGTAAATCTCGCTCAGGGGCAGCATCTTCTCCGGGGAGCTCTGGATCGCCATGGCGGTCAGCGAAATGTAGGAGTAGGGAGGCTTCTGATCGCTGTAAGTGTTTCTGCCCGGGCGAGGCATCTTCGCTAGGCGACCCGCAGAGATCTGCAGAAGGGCAGCGACAAGGGGAGGGGGGCGGGAGGAGGGGGTAGAGGGGTGAGTCCGAGAGGATTTGCACGGACACCCAGTCGGGTCAGCCGGTGGCTCTGGGGCCGGGCTGGAGAAAGAAGGACACAGGGAAGGGGCACGGTGGATCTCAGCCCTCGAAACGGGGGACGCGGGGGGTGGGGGTGGGGGAGTGGGGCGCAGATGAGGGCAGGAGAAAACAGCCCAGAGCCCTGTGCCGCCGCAGGGGGAAAAGCGATGCGCTTCTCCCAGCTCCGGCCTCCCTCAGCCTGGCCTTCCCGCAGGAGCCCGCGTCCGTGAAGTTACTCTAGTGATAGCCCTGTCTTCTGGTCTCTGCGAGGATGAAGGGGACCCCATCCCCTCCCCTCGACTCCCACCCAGCTCCGTGCCAGTCCCTGCATGTGCCCACCTTAAAGTTGCTGGAAGTTGACAGTCCGCATCCGGGACGCAGCTGGGAGTACGGACTCTTTCCCACCCCTCTCCTCCGGCGTGTCTCTCGCTCCTTCCGCGGCCACGCTGCTCCGGTTTAGTCCTGAGGAGGCAGCGAGCTGGCTTGGTTTTGGGAGTCCTCCTGTACACCCCTCCCTTCGCCTCCGCGGGCTGAATCAGCTTCTTTTACACCACCGGCAGCTGCACTGTAGCAGAGGTTCGTTTGCTTCTCCGCAGCGGCGATGAGCTAACTAGTTGCCTCCATGTCCTTCCTCTAACCATCTGATAGTTTTATGTGGTGACATGAGCAGAAAAGACCCCTGTAGAGGCGCTTCATTAATGTGCCACTTCTTTGCTATCATATGACAATCGCCTTGGGAGCAGGGGGAGGGGAGCAGGGAGGAGGGGGCTGGAGAGAAAGGCATAATCTGGTTTCATTTACACCTATTTACATGGACACCTTGGGCCAATGGGAATCATTTCCATTTGAAGACAAGGCGAGGGGTGAAAAGGCTCCGCCAGCGGAATTGCAGTGCGATGGTACCCGGTGGCTGGGGGTGGGGGGAAGGTATGCACTAACCTCTATGTGGACTTTGCAGGAAGCTTAGTCTGCAATTCACACTTACAAATGGAGGTACTGAGCAGTGGGATGTTTGACATGGAAATTGCTTGGCTGTGGTATTCTGTTTGTTCTGCATTGTTATCTGATTTGTATTGTTGGCTAACTTAAGGCGACTGTTTCCCCTGTAACGAAGGGACTTTCTCTTTGCCAAATCCGCTCTTCCCGAGCGAAGGTTTTTTCGAGGAGCGGTGAGATCGGGGCTCTTCCGTAGCCGCCCCGGGAAGTCAGTCCCGTCCCCCCCGCACCGTCGCACCCCCCCCCAGCCCATGTAGGAGCGCTGCTCTAATTCCGCGGACCTGTTGGTGTAAAGACGCGGGAGTTGCTCTCAATACACCAGGAGAACGGGCTCATGACCGGGCATAGGGTCCCGGTGTGCTCGGTAACCAGCTGCCTTCACGCCGCTGCTCTGCTCGCGGGACCGGGGAGTATCCGGCCGGCCTCGAGGCTGGGGGTCCCGCAGAGCTGTCTGGGCTAATGGGTCCGTGTCAGCGGTCACTGTGCTAAACATCGTCATCTTGACGCCTTCTGCGGGGTTTGCGTGATGTGTGTCAGACTGTTCGCCTGCCTGTGTGCTTTTCCGTGCCCACTTGTGCCGGATTGCGGCTCTTGCTGGTGCACGGTACTCCCTCCTCCCCGGGAACCAAGGCCCGATCCTGGATCCGCAGCCCAGACGAGCAGCTCGCTGCCAGCCGTGTGTCCTGGGGGGACGATCAGGCCCGGAAGGTCCCAGGCTTGCCCTGGCACTGGAGGGAAGTTTGCATGATGTGTATTCCCGAGGCTGCGGTGCATCCTGTCACCCCAGAGCCACAACTGAAGATTGTCTCGGGGAGGAAGAGCCTTTGTGGTGAATACACATCAACTCCATTAACAATATTTTCGGAGTCGGTCAATAACTCACCAAAACGTAACTTAAACACGATGAATTTAGGAGATTAAACAATTTCATTAATATTGAAATGGCCGCTGAGGCTGAGCGCGCGCGCTTGAAATGCAAGCACACGTTTTTCAATATTAACAGAAGTACTTGAAAAGAAGAATAATGTCACCTTCTTAATTCAGCAAAAATAGCCGGGCTGGGGGAGGGAGCGCGGCAGCGGCTCTGTGCAGCGCGGCTGCTGAGAGACGGGCTCTGCGAGAGCCTGGAGTCCTCTCGGAGGGACGGTCCCCATCGAGCAGGGCTCCCTCAAACCTGGCAGGAGCCTCAAAACGCATTTTCACAGCGCCGACCTCGTGTGTGTTAAACCGTGCTCCCTTCGTCCCAGCCCGGCTGCCCTCGGTCCCATCTAATCCCTCTCTCTCGGGGCAGGATGTCGTTTAGAGAATAATAAGTAAATAATTGTGTTTCTAGGAATCTGAGAAGCCGACCGGCCCCGCGCTGCCGAGCTAACGAGCCCTTTTGAGGGATAGACCTGCCACATGCCACCCTCTGCCCCTTGCAGGGAAGGCCCGGGAGTGTTTGTGCTGTTCAGAGCCCGGGAGTTGCCTTGCTTAGTTCATCGGCTCTGAGATGCTTCATCCAGCCGGGCAGGGCAGGAAGGCAACTTCCAAAAAAAATTTTTTTTTTGGGGGGGGTAGGGTGGGTAAGAGATGATGAGACGATGGATATTTGTTAGAGGGTAGGAAAGACTATACTCTGAAATGAGCAGGGATTCCTCCCAGCATCCCCTAACACTAGACAGAAAGCTTCTGTTTTTGTGTTGAGAACCTCCAAAAAAGTGGGTGTAAAGGATACTGCCCTCCCATACACTCCACACATCCAGCTCCCCCATCCCCAACTTCTAACACCCCCAGTTCAGGTTTTGTCTCTCGGCCCAAGTTCACTCCTAGGATGCCTATCTAAAAGACAGCTCAGAAAATCCACAAACTGACAAATACTTTTCCTCTTCTCTTTGCCGGTACCTTTTCTTGTCGAAGAACCAAACCAGCTGATGCAAAAAGGAACCCGCAAGCTGTAAAGTCAAAGGAGGGTCGACTTCCGTTGTCATTTGCTACTCTCAGTGCAAATGAGGTATGGCTGTAAGTCCGATCTTTTTTCGTGGTCTGGTGGTTTTTTTTAATTTATTTTTGGGGCTTTTTTTTTGTTTGTTTGGGGGGTTTTTTTTGGTTTTTTGTTTTGTTTTTTTTTTTTTTTTTTTTTTTTTTTTTGTTTTGTTTTTTTTTTTTGTTTTTTTTTTCCATTGCAAAGGAATGTGTGATTGAAGGGGTAGGGCAGCTGAAGCCATCTCAGTAACTCGTACCCAAAGTTTCGTCTCGTGCTAAGCAAGCAACAGATGATAGACTTGGGCAATATAGGATTTAAAGGTAATTGTAGCATTTCCCTTTTACTTTGAAAGTCAACATTAGGGAGGAGGAGAAGGTGAAGTGAATCCAAATCCATTGTGTGGAAAACCAAAACAAACACGTTTTTCTGAAGTCTAATTCAAATAAGGAGCTCAGAGGAAGTGTTGGGAAAACTATATAAAATACACATAAGTCAATTATATCAATGTTCAAACCCAATGGAAATCTATTTCATGCAAGAGCCATTCAGCCCTTGCATGGAGCCCATCATGGACCACCTTTCTGCATGGAAGGTTTGCAATAGCCCCCTTTCCCACAAGCAAGACCACACACGTTTACAGATTTGGTAATAATTTATGCTAATTTTCCTCCATAAATCCACAATTCGCCTCAGTGGCAAGCAGGGCTGTTGAGAGAGGAAAAGGAGACAGAAAAGTGACAAATACAATATTGATTTTGAATCCTTGTGGCTGCAAGCAGGTGTGTAGCTTTGCAGAGGGGAGGAGTGGGAGAGGAGCTGTGGGGGGAAGCCAAGAAGTTTTCCGAGGATAAAAAAAATCCACTCTGTGTGAGAGAATACTCACAACCTTGTTAATATTTACAAACCAGTTGGGAGAAAAGAGAAAGGAGGGGGGAAGTACCAGCTTCTTAGGGTTTCCTAGGCTGCGAAACACAATGCCAGTGTCTGAGCAAGCTTCCCCCGTTTTGGAAAGTCAACTGCAGGCTGTTGGTTGCGGCTGCGTTTCGGCTAAGCCTTGCCCTTTTTTTTTTTTTTTTTTTTTTTTTTTTAATGGTTCTGCCTCTTCTGCTTCTCGGGGGCTGAGGGGAAGAAAGCCAAGATACTTGGGGTCTCCTGCTTTTCTGTGTGCTTGAATTCCCGGTGCGGTTTCCCGAATAGCTCCGGCCGCTCTGGGAACGGCTGGGCTTTGTCCCACCCCACATTCTTCACCAAATCTGCCACTTTGGCGTGAAACTACTTAGCGCCCTTTCAAAAGGATTTTGTCCCTTTCCCAATGAGCACTAAACAAACTCCCCCTGCCTGTCAAGGCCGGACTGAGAACTGTTCCCCAAACCTGTATTCCCGATAGCTCGGGATGCGCAGCGCGCTTTGAGCCCGGGGGGCCGGGCCAGGCTGCGCCGTTCTGGACCCGGGGCTCCCGGCGCTGGGCAGCGCTCTGGGCCGCCCCTGCCCTGCCCTGCCACTACTGCCGGCTCGCTCCTCGCTGCTGTTACCCTCCCGAGAGCCGGCTGCCCGTATGCGCCGTCCTCGGCTGCCCCGTCGGGGATTTCAAGCGCCGCCAGCCCAAGCCGGCCCTTGGCCCCGCGGCGGCGCCGCCGGGGCGCACCCCAGGACGGAGCGTCCCCCGTGCCCCGAGCTCATCGCTGTCGGAGAGCCCGCGCTGGGACACCCGAACTCCTTAACCCCGAGAGGAGGCTGTTGCTCCCGCTCATGGCTCTTGGCGCTGCTCCGGAGCACCTGACTCCCGATCGGAGCGGGTTTCCCGGAGAGCTCTTTTCCCTCCGCCGCTAAACGCAGCCCCTCAGCCTCCCCTCCCTCCACATGCCCAGGACTCCCTAGGACGGCTCCGAGGAGTGCCAGGGTCACACCGGGCGCGGGAGGCCG